CTTAAAATTTTCAGGTTTGGCAAGCCCTTTTGTCTGTCAGGTCACTTGTGCTTCCACCTACAGAAGATGTAGAGACATGGATAAAATTCGCCTCTCTTTGCCGTAAAAGTGGTAAAATCAGCCAAGCTAGATCAACTTTGACTGAACTATTACAGGTATGCTATTCATATCAATTTTTTTATGGCTGGTAAATATTCTTATGCTACCACTTGTCTGTGCTGAATATAGTCTTTTGTGTGATGAGCAGTTTGATCCAGATTTAACCCCTGAAACTGAACGATATATTGGGGACCCTCAAGTTATTCTAGCTTATTTGAAATATCAATGGTCACTCGGGGAGGATCATAGACGCAAAGAAGCTTTCGCAAGACTAAAGGTATGCTTTAATTTTTCTGAAGCGTTGAACTTCTCGATACGTTGCTGATTATTGTATATTCCTCGTTTTAAGTTCATTACATCTGCAATTTCTTTGTTTTAGGATTTGGCTGTTGACTTCCCAAGAATGCCTGGTTTTGAACAATCCATACAGTCCGGATTTATGGGTACCTCGAGTATTCCTTTCGCTGCTCGTGTTTATCTAAAGTTAGGAACTTGGCAGTGGGCACTATCCCCTTGTCTGGATGACGACTCTATACAAGGCAGTCTCTCTCTCTCTCTCTCTCTCCCTCTCTCTCCCTCTCTCTCTCCCTCCCTCTCTCTCTCTCTCTCTGTGTAAACATGGGAGGATGGTCCTCTATCAGCTCCACTACATCTGATTAATGGTATGGTGTTCTTTAATTCTAGAAATTCTCAATGCATTACGTAATGCAACTCACGGTGCAACAACTTGGGCAAAAGCTTGGCACAATTGGGCACTTTTCAATACGGCAGTTATGTCTCATTACACTTTGAGAGGTCATCCGAACGTTGCTGGGCAGTTTGTTGTCGCTGCTGTCACTGGATATTTTCATTCTATAGCTTGTGGGGCACATGCTAAAGGAGTGGATGATAGTTTACAGGTAATCCTTTAAGTCGATAGTTGTTTTTCATTTCTAAGGATATAAGCTCTTAGTTTCAGTTAGAAGTTTGCTCTCTCTCTCTCTCTCAGAATGTCCCATGAATATCTCGTGTTTATTATTTCTCTTTTTTTTTTTCTGGGTTAGGTATCATTAATATTTTCTTGGAATTCAGGATATCCTTCGTCTCCTAACTCTGTGGTTCAACCATGGAGCCACATCAGAAGTTCAGGTGGCACTACAGAGAGGATTTTCACTAGTAAATATAAACACATGGTTGGGTGTTTTGCCCCAAATAATTGCCAGGATACATTCTAATAACCGTGCAGTGAGAGAACTGATACAAGCACTGTTGGTACGAATTGGCCAGAGCCATCCACAGGTTTGTTTGATTTATAATAACTAGTACTTCCGTTTGTCCTTATTATTCAGTTTTGATAGACTCTTTTCTCTTAGCATGTGAATATTATTTTTTTTTTTTTTT